AACTAAACCAGAGCCGCCTCGACTTGGCACAGGAAGACCCTGGAAGAGGGTGATAGGCGATAGGAAGAAATGTTTCCATTTCAGTGTGCCATCCAGACTTAAGTTAATTATAATTAATAATAGATGTTAATAGTTAGTAGTAGTTAATACTTACAAATAGATACAATCAATAGTAGATAAAATAATAAGGAATAGTATTAGTCAATCATGTTTGATAATCATGGTTGTAGTTGGTGAACTTGACTGTTTGGACATTCCTGTTTACAATCCAACATCCATCCGAACTCGTTCGGCTGCGGGTTTCGGATGGTTTGGGGGTGTGTTTTTTGGCCGAACTCATCTCAGTGGCGTGTAATAGCTATGGTTGCCCCAGCAACCATCTTTAAACTACAAATGTGACTTCTAAAACCAATCAAATAAATGTCTGAACATGGTGGTTCTGAAAAAATAACATCATCAATCTTTGGAGGATCATCCCACGAATTGTAACTGCTTAACCCAAGTTATAACCCCACAACATGGGACTTGCAACCACTAGGGCGATTGGAACCACTTGTAGCCCATGATCCCATGAGACTCCCATACAAAATCCCCATTGCACTAATTACCATTCTTGTTGCTTAAATCCCAATTTTCTTGGGTCAATCCCTATTTTTGTTGGTTAAGTCACCATTTGCTGAAATCCCTCATTGTATCCCATTGATCTTCCGTGACACCCTGGGGCGGTTCACCTCACGAGCGCTCTGACGCCGAAGCTGAAGCCCAGGAGCGCCAGCAGCCGCACCGTCAGGCGGATCACCAGAAGCTCCTGTGGCAACCCTCTCCAAATTTGCAAACACGGTAGGCATGTATATATATATATATATTGAACATGTATGACATATTAATGGACTGTAATATACATATATATATATATATCAACATATAAAGAAATATTCCTGGAGTTTTTCTTGTTTTTAATATGGAAGTTCCAAAGATGTTCCCTTCGCTCCACGCTGGGCAGTGTGGCAAAGCTCCGCTCTTGCAGGTGCCGGGGCACCGGCCCTGCGGCTTGGGGGACTTGGTTAAGGTTGGGGTTGGTGAAGGCGCTTAACCAAGGATGGGGGATGGCTTCTAAATATTCAAAAATAACTAAAAATAGTGTAATTTCATGTGTTTTCACCAAAAGTTTGTACATGTTGATGCTAAAAATATAGAACTCCAATCTCTCGTGGGGTCTCTCTGGAGTCTCTGGAGCTGCTTTTTTGAGAAAGATAAGCACAAGAATAATGGGAAGGGCGAAGGTGCGTTCTTTTTTGCAGCATCATATAGTAGCCCCCAAACGATAAAACAACCATTTGTCATGTACAATTTAAGAGTCTAGAGCCGGATCATCCAAGCATTGATCTTTTCGTGGGGCTTGCTGTAGGTCCCGATATGTCCCAATGTTGTCCAATTTTGCTTTCTCTGGTTCCATGCTCTACTTTGCTGGGATTTCCTGCCTTGTGACACCAGGTTACTTTTTCTCTGGAAATCACACACTCCACACTCCACTTGGAAATCCCAACTTGCGTGAAATAAATGACCATATTATGATGTCAATGGAAATGGGTTGACATGAATGCAAAACATGGACATAGTTTTGTCTTGGCCAAACCATTGGCGAAATTTTAACCCTTGCACATGTCATGCAGTACAGCCTCCAATCAAGATCCAATACAAGGAGTGGATGGACTGAACCACATCTTTCGGGACCATCCTGGCACTTGATCTGTTTGGTGACTTGGTGAAGTGTTGGTGATTTCAATTCATGCAAGAAAAACGTCAACATGGCTTTGTCAGATTGTCCAACAATGAGGTGCGCCCGAATTGGATGGTTTAATTTATGATCATCTTCCCCATGAAAATGTAGCTCCTGACAATGGAGGCTGTTCTTGCTGGAATCATTCGAGTGAGCCCAACAGTTAGCAAATCAGTGCGAATAATAAGGTACGATCTGAATGCAAATGGGTGATAGAACTTGCCTCACCCCATCTTTATCCCACTTGAAGTGGGTCGAAGAAACCTGAAAGGATTTCTCCATTCGTTTCCGGATCACCATTGTGCTGTTTCACCACAGCAGTGGCCTGAAAACCCGCAACGTTCTCGAGGGAGGCCCTTTGGGTTCACCTAGCAAAACATCAAGCCGCCAAGTGTGGCTCACCCCAGCTTAGGGATTCAATCGGGACATATGGGGATATATACATATATGTATCTATCTACTATATATATATATATCTATAACATATATATATATATAGATAGAAAATTATAGAAATATATACGTACCAGTATAGTGCCGGATAAAAAAAGGAGATGATGAGGAGAGAATTGGAATATAAATAACATCAAATAACCATCCCAGTTAGTCAGTGGGTTAGAACTCCAACTATAAGTGGGGTACGTATGGGTAAGTGAGTTACAGCCAGTAACGGGGTGAACTGACCGGCTGACTGTGATGAACCACCAAGCACGAAGTAAGTCCAACTGATACATACACAGTAATGGACAGCAATGGCATGGATGTTGAAAAATGCAATCATCACCAACAACAACAGCATCATCATCATCATCATCATCACCATCATCATTTTCGATTCCACATGAGCCCTTGATGCCTCCTGCTCAATGAAAATCATAACGTTGCCAATCTTAGATACCCCGTCCAAACTATCGATTGCAGTTGGTCAATATGTATCCCCCGCCATAGCAAAAGTTCAGTTCGAGTGTAACAGTGTAACACTATCCATCCATCCAAGGTTTCCCTTGGGGACTGCCTGCGGATGTCGCGAAGATGGGACAGTTCGCGGGCTTCAGGTCATCCTCAACCTGTGCCGTTGACATTTTGACGTCGAAGTGTCAGGCCAGCAGCTGGTTTTTTGGCATTTTTGTGTGCTTCAATCTTCAAAACCACAACCAGAAGTCTGAACACGAGCATGCCCAATTGTTGCATATTTTCTGAAGCAACTACAAGGTGCTGCACTACAAGGTGCTGCCTCCTCCAGTTATCATGATATATCTATGCACAACAAAGCCAAAAAGTGAAATGGTATATATAAGTTATCAACGAAATTTAGGAATTAATAAAAAACGGCTATCATAAATCAGATATAAACCAAAACCCTCACATGGACAAGTAAAAATTATCACTATTCTAGATTCGGATTTTATTTACCCAAGATATTCAAAAAATGAAATCCAAATCCAAAATAGTGATAATTTTTACTTGTCCATTTGAGGGTTTTGGTTTATATCATATATATATATATATTTGGACTATGGCAGCCGTCACGTGCCCAGGCGGAACATCCAGGCCTCTGTCGCGGGACTTTTTTGACCCTGGGAACAAAAGGGATCAGCGCATTACGGATTGAGTTGAATGGGTGGCATATTTATATATATATTTGAATGGGTTGCATATTCAACTTTCGCATGTGTGTCAACATAAATATACAGTATATATATATATAATCATATATATTTAATCACATATATATATAATTATATATATAATGTATAACTATCTCTCTCTCTTTTTATGTCAATATACAGTATATGTCAATTTGTACATACATATGTATGTTCACGTGTTGCTTATATTACAATATGTTATGATACAGTATACTTGGTGACTCTGGTCTGGTCCCATTCTATTGCTATAGTCTATAGTAGTGCCTCAATATGGGTTACTGTTCTCCCGCCCTTGATCTCCAAAAAGCAGGGTTTTGAGGAGCCTGCTTCACCACCACCAAGCTGAGTGTTGTCAGGCTGGTGGGATATATAAAACTGACAAACCACCAGCCATATGTCCCCATTATATCATTTTGTATCAGCAGTATATATTATAATATCACGTCCCCACCATACCCATCATTTTAGATGGTTAAATATTTCTAACCCTCCATTCAAATACCATGAAATCCCATTAAGTACCACGGAATTCCATTGAATCCCAGTTCCATTCTGCTCAAAATTCCAATTATCCCATATAACTATCCCATAGTAATTGTCCATTATTATCCCGTACATTTGTCACAAATACCTATCCCAGAATCATCCCATAACCTCCAAAAAATCCTCCCATCTCGCCGTCCACGCCTGATACCTCGGCCTCCAGGGAGAAGGAACTGCAGGAACCGCAGGAACCGCAGGCGCGGCGCGCCCAGCGCGGCGCGCCAAGCGCAGCATTTTTGACGCGAAATCCGCTTGGGAACTGGTGAAAATGTGAGAAAACCTATGGTTGATATGAGAAAAATGGGAAACATATAGGAACATCTATGGTTTATAAATGTTTATAGATGGTGGAAACATGTATATGGGAAAACCATGGAAAACCATGGAAAAGCTATGGTATGGTCAAAATCTGTGAACATCTATGGTAAAAGAATAGTGGGAAGATGTGGGAAATTCATGGGGAGGAGGATTTATGGGAAGAATATGGTAAAATATGGGGAAATCTATGGTTTATAGATGGAACATTGCGGAAACATGCGCATGGGAAAATAAATAGAAATAATATTGCAGGTGGATTTCCCAGCAGTTTCTGTTTGAAGATGTTTGTATTGTAATTGTAAAAAATACGCAGATGCAGGATCTTTGAGGTCGAAGTCATAGGCTTAGGTCGCAGCTGGCCTTCCCATATGCCATATTGCAGTTATGTCAGTTGTCTTTTGGAAGAGAAGACGCTTCAACTCGAAGACTCTGAGTCTTTGAGTCCAGCTGGATCTGCGACTGCAGTTTGGATCAGCCGATGAATCATCTGAAGCTATTGAGCACAAGTTGTCTGCGAAAGGATGGAACATGCGGCCCCAATCGCACATGTAGCCGTGGGAAAGTGGATAGAATACTCGTTTGGTGCACTATCGAAAATGGTAGGCTGATGAAAATATCGGAGAACACCTCACATCCCGCATGCTGCAACAGTGGTCAGTGAAGGTTGGGTACAGTAAATGGATCATGCTGGTGATTCACAGTCGCAAATTGTGGAGATGTGCAAAAGTCTTGCTCAGAATGCACCTGCTGAGGTTGCGCCTACTCTTCGCCAAAGACCCTCTCAAAACACAGCTTCATGAGCGATAATATCCAACAAGATTTACGTGTTTCCAAACGTTAGGTAATTCCATCACTCTCTCTCACTCTATCCCCATTCCGGTGGTTCAGCATCGGGCTGGCGAGCAATGGCGAGCAGGTGGCCCAGCCATCTGAACAGGTCGCCATATTCCTCTTGGCATCTTGGCCAGTAACATCCAGCAGATGTTCTCAGGCTCCGACATGATCATTTTCGCTGGGCCGCTGAAATACTACCAGGTAATGTCCTTCAGTGGCTTGATCCACTTCGAGGGGAAACCATTGCCAGTCCGTCGACTTCGCATATAGGACACCCTTCAGCTGATCCTCACTGGGAAGTGTCAAGAACCTGAGGTTGGTCAGTCAGCATGCAGGTCGCGACCCAGTAATGCAGCCTTGCTACGATTTTCAATCATGACTTTTTCTTGGATTGACCACTACTTGGCAAAACAAATGCATAATAGCTTATTGAAATTTATTGAATGTTGTTGAGGAGAATACACACATTTGGACCTTTGGAGGAAACTTCTCAATTACTAAGCAAATTCTTGAAGACTCGAGCAAGACTGATCTGATCACCTCATCTGCAAACTTCGCTCCAAAATCCAGGGTGTAGAGCCCTACACCTCCCGGTGCAAGCTTCGAAGCCACCAACCTCCGAAAGGCGGAGTGAAATTTCTGCTGTTCACTGAGCACGCTACTCATAGTACTACCAGCGATGACATGAAATTCCTCCGTCGGCCAGGATCTTTCATCATAAACATCCAGTTCGGCTGTCTGAAATCGCTCCATGTCACTGCTGTTGCCGAAGGATGCCATGGCACTGAAACGCCGCGCCACAGCACTTTCAGACAGGAGATCTGTGCTGAGCACGTGCCAACCCCGGAGTAGGGCCACCAAGGAAGCGAAACCTACACCGGCACCAACCTCCAAGAATCGCCTGGGTGGTTTGTTGATCGCCCTTCTGAAAGTAGCGCTTGAGACATCTTCGAGTCACCTAAGAGAATTCCCATTTTACCCAACTGTAACAAACAACTCAAAAGGTCAAAGTGTATAGCTTCAATCCGTCCAGTCGCACAGCACGGCCTGGAAGTTTCAACATGTTCAGCCTCTCAATTGCATGTCCCAAAGCATAACCAGTAGGCCACAGGAAGCCAGCACCGGACTGTGGCGGGATATCCTAGGTCCATTGATCCCTGGCTATAAGACTAACTTCTAGTGGAATATATATCGCAATGTGGTAAACTCAATAATAAACCATCCCCAAAATTGCGGTAAATGGGTGTTATAAACTAACAATCCCCAAATGGTAGGTCTTGCATTGGGTTTACCATGGTTTACCACGATATTATATATATATATATATAACGATAAATAATACAGTATTATATAGGCAAACCTATTATCGCCAATCATGCTAAAAGTCTATAAGCATATGGCTATAATCCGTCCAGCATCAATTCTGGGAAAGCTGCGGCTGAAGTGTTTTCGCTTACTTTCAAAGAGCTCGCCCCACCAATTCAAAGCACTAGCTTGAACCAACTTCAAATAGGTTGCCCGCCCAGATTGCCCGGAGTGGGTGCGAAATGTCAACAAACCATAATTGTACCAAGGAAGCCCTCGCTGTGCGATGTTGTGAGTGACACTGCAGCATTCCAAAGCACTCCTCCCGTGGCAGCCAGAATGTCCTGGTTGGATACTTCCGCCATGCCGGATAGCTTTCCAAAGATGTCGCAACATAAACGCGAAGTTGCAGCAGTTGTCAAACAGGCAAGCTCCGTTGGGGTCGACGCAACATGATCCTTCAGGGATCAGATCACCGCCTTCAAAGAGCGTTCCGCTGCATGCAACCAGCAGGAACGCCATAAATCCGCCATGGCGAAACGGCATCTCGATCTGAGGGCCATCCGTGCCGCCGAGTCGCCACTTGAAACAGACAAACGTAGAATCTTTGCTATTACAAGCTTTGGCAGTTCCCCAAGAGAAATACGATTTGTTTTTTGGTGCGGAAAGTGAGATAATGTGAGGTTACATGAGGCATCATGAGGCTACTGATTGCTGATGTAATCTTGTCAAATTGAACCAATTCTGTCGGTCTTTGCTTGTTGCATCGCTGAAACAAACCGTGAGATTTGTTCATAATAGCCACCTCACGGTGATTTTGTCTCGTGGGGGATACCGAGAATGGCGGTTCAGCACAGCCGATCACATGAAAGGCACCTCAAACAGAACAAACCTAGCTATCCACTGGGTATATGGCATGCCCTAATGTCGCCCACTTGTACTTTCCAAGAGCATTCCTCCGAATGAAAGTAGCCCCCAGCCTGCTGCAATCAATCAGGGCAATGAAAGATCCACGAATCCTCCCATATAGGGGATTTCATGGGATTTCCCATTGGCATGGTTGATTACCAAAGGGTATATAAATTCAACATGGAATCCCCAACAATGGAGCCCTGAAGGAAAAAAGCTTCCATTGGATGTGGCGCAGCTATGGGGTTTCAGCTCAGGTTTAGTGCGCAGCAAGGAGGTATAACATAAGACCTGCGGCAAGCATCAAGAAGTCAAAGGAAACACACCCACATGCGACTTTGGGGTTACGGAATGACAAATCTTGCCTAATCAATTGCTGATTGGTGGTTGGGCCACCCCAAAACTGCGCTTGTCAATTGGGATCATGTTTTCCATGTCTAAATTGGAATTTATAGAACGCTTCCATTTAAGCCACCAATGAGATTATCATATCCCATCATCCTTCATGAATCCTGTGAATCTGTGATGGAAAATGCCGTGCAATTCCGCCCCGTTTTTCCGGGCACTCCAACTATCTTCGCCACAGCTGAATGCAGTGGTGGATCGGGGTGCAGTTGCTGCTAACGAAAACATGACTTTGCACTTTGATCTGCATACCAGTGACTAAGAGATATGTATTTATAACATGTAAGTCTAAGTGGAGAATAACTATACCCATCATATACAGTAACCCAGTAAAACATGGGATATCGTGATATACCCTAGTAGTATGGCTTATTGACCACATATCTCTCTCTCTCTCTCTAAATATAAATATTTATATATGCATATATGCACTATCCAGGACCCCCAAGTATTTTTCTTGAATCATCGTGAACCACAGGGCCAGAGGGCACCAATAGGACAACAGATTTGGCCAAGGCTGTCACACCAAGTTCGTCAAAAGTAGTCTTGATGCCACATTGAAGTATCATACTGTAGTAAAGCGGTAAACCAAATCATAAACCATCCCACTCTTCGGGCTCATTTCATATCATCCCATTCGCCCATTACCAGAAATAGGGGCATACCCAATTCCATCAAGCACTACAGTTGGGAATGTTGGGATCGATTGGGGATGATCGTTTAGGGCCTGATGGGTTTGATTTCACCCGGAGATTTGAGAAGTTCAGTCCTTTGATCAAATTACAAATAGCAATCCAGCTGCCGTCCAGGTGCCACATCACTTAACCCATACCATCCAACACTCAACGAAAATGAGAGTGTGTCATAATGTTTGAACAGTTAAATAAATAAATATGTATATATAATTATATATAGTCTATATAGTGTTTATATTTCGAAAAACAAGCGCGCACACACACATACATCTTTTTAATTTCCGAACATAATTGTAGTGACAACAATAAAGTGTTGATGGACAAAGGAATTCAAACCCACTCATCTTCAAGTGATCACCACTCTACGCGTTGTCCGGCTTCGGCTCGGCCGAAGCCTCACAGCTGGAGAGGAAAAGATGGTTACCTCGCAAGACGGGTGAGTCCAACTAGCCACGGCTAATTCAACCAGTTGATGGGGATATCATAGAGATAAAATGGGCCTATAATGGCCTATCATAGGGATATCATTCATGGAATCCTGGAAGATATTGCTGGGTGATGCCCGAGGTCGTTGGCTAAGTTGGTTTGCAAGTAACTAGATTGAGTGATTGAGTATGGGTTTTTTGTTTATGTAGATAGAACTGTAGTCAATGGGGTTTGTAAACCAACTTATAACTGGGAGGGGCAACACTTTTTACCAATCATGAACTATGGGTAGTTCATCGATATCGGCGATTGGCCATAATTCGGCATGGTAGTTGATTAAGGCTATGATATTCACAATTTATTGTGACCATCAACAATCCATTCACTTCTTCTTCTTTTCGGTGCTTTAAAAGGTTATGTTTCAGTGCTCCTGGTATGTCTTAGGTTATTGATGGCTATGGCAAATATGGGCAATCAAGTTGAGGGACCGTGTAGTTTGCCAACTGTCCAGTGCAAGTTGAGGAAGCATAGGGTATTGCTCCACTAATTCATCATTGCCAATCTTGGATACTCTGCAAAAATGACACCTGGGTCCCATTTGACAAAGCACACATCACCCATTTCAGTGGAGGATCGTCAGGGATCATCGAAATGCTGGAGACCATGAACAGCCAACATGCCCCATGAGGCCTTCAGAGGTAAACCAACCGCAGGATTTGAAGAATCAATAGATTCCTCCACTAGAGTCACTAGAGTACGACCCACCTCTGCAAATCACAAAACCCCTTTGAAATGAAGGGTTTGTCTTAAAATCGCGCAGCTTGAAATCCCATGGTCACTATCATATTTTTTCCTATTGAAATCGCCGTGCCCAATTCTCAAACACTTGCCACTTGCCGAAATGCAAGCAAAGTGACTCATAGCGCTAGTAGGTAAAACTCTGACTTTCAGCTCCTGTGCCAATTTCAAGGCGTCTTTCTTCACATAAGCTTTCAAGTTTCCTTCCTCGCCGCGCCAGCTTTGGTGTTGCCGCTTCAACTTTTCAGGCGCAATGAAGCCCCAAAGCGTGGAGCCACCCTTCAACTCGAGCTCCACAAAAACGCCATAGGTCATTACGCTGCGCACCACGCCTGCGGATTGTACAATTCGTGGGATCAAATACCATGTTGTTCTTACAGCAACTAAAAAAAAAATACATGGCACCAACATCACCAACCAATAGGATATAACATAGCATAAAATGAGAATAGACAATCTATACCACATCGCCAACCAACTGAATACTTGAATCCCAGACCGCTCATAGCTTGGCATAGCGCTCCTCTAAGCCACTTGCCGGTTGGCAGTGAGAACTGCTCCTCCTGGGCAGTGGGTTATACTTTGTGTGGGGGTACTAAGATACAATGCTACAATGCTATAATATACCGACTATATATTCATATGTATAGCGCGCACACGCACACACACATCTATGTATATATATATATACATATATATATATACACTGTAAATATGTAAATATATATATATGTAAATATATATATATATATACATATATTGTAAATATGTATATATATATATATATGTAAATATATATACATATACATATACTGCAAATATGTGTATATATATATATATGTATATATGTATATATATATGTAAATATATATATATATATCTAAATAAATGTATATATACATTATATATAATTATATATATATGCAAATATACACGCATATGACAATCTATGCTAGTTGTATATGTGTACGACTGAAAGATTGCATTTACACATAAGATTTTAATTGTCTGCATCAATGCTGTTAGACCAAATCTTGCCTCGTTTACCCCATACATGAAACCTGGCTTGATTGATGGAACCACAACATTATTTTTCAAATATAAGACCATCATTTCTGGAGAATGTTGGAATGGGTGATGATTTTCACACATACCCAATACCGGGTAGATGGTTCAACGGCTGGTAAATGCCCAAATGTTGGTGGTTGGAAAGTGAATCTGCATGATTCTCCAGCCCGGCACCTTTCTGCCAACAGGGCATCCGCAAATCCCTTATTTCAAGACACCGAAAACATTCGAGACCTCCCCATGATTTTCCCAATTAGATCATGTTAGATCCCAATTGTTCAGTGTAAACTTACCTTTTCTCAGCATTAAAGCACCTTTTCTCTCGTTCCAAGGACCCGTCCTCCAAGCAGTTGGGACTTTGCCTTGTCCACAGCGAGAGCTCCTCGCCCGCCTCGTCCCTCTGAGGCGTCGCGGAGCGGCCGCCACGAAGCTGACAGGATAACCTGGGAAGATCCGGAAAAAAAAAAAAACACACGCCGAACAATGGGATTTCATGGAGTTTCATGGAATTTAACCAACAAAAACAAGAAAAAACGGGGGAAATTTATGATGATACCCTCTGGTTATGTCACATGACGGACAATTGCCCATTTTTAGATGGTGTATGATGATTTAGCTATTGAACATTGTGATCTTCTGTAGCTACGTTAAATTGCTAGAGAGCATATGAACCCCCCAAGCAGGGATAGAAACTACCACAGTACCAATCATAGTAATGGCTAGTGTGGATAGAAAAGTCATAGCTTTAGCTGAGGCATGAACCCTGAAAGCACCGTCTAGCACATCATAATAATAGTGGACAGTATGAATAGTTGAATAGTAGTTCAATTAGATATCATTAATATAGATATCGGTGCTACCATAACCTAGAAATTATTGAGGGTTGTCTAAAAGAAAAATCTAGTCTTAATAGACCCACGGAGCATGCCCCTTCCCACTGAGGGTCGATAAAAGGATTCCTTTCACTTCGGGTGTTAGGCCCTTAGGCGGGACTTGGGGTATGCTCCACAGGTATGTTCAAATCATATTAGAGTCTAGCAAGTGAGGAACGGTGCAATAGCAATTAAATGATTCCTGATGAACCCTGCTGCCAAACCTACAAATGATCCAGAATATGGTAACTCCCAAAAAGATAGAAAGGTAAATTCCACTAAAATAGTGATAATTTGTTTCTCTATTTCAGGGCTACTGTACAGTAACTATTGTAGATCTTGGTGCAGCTCAACTGGCCAAGATCGTGTTTCTTCTTGGGATCTATGATGGGTAAAACGGTCAACCCATGCCTCACGACAGGGTAGACATGGTTTCAGGGGTACATGGTGGACAAGTTGTAGCTGACAACTATACACACCACATATATGGCTCTCATGGCCAACCCTAGATAGCAAACAAAATAAGCTGGTTAGCATATAGTAATAGATACTATCCCCATCAAACTTAGCAAACACAGAAAGTAGCAAACTGTCTATCCTAGCAATTTCTAGATGTGGTTGGTATATATTCCCCCAGCTGGTTGATATATATATATATATTATGTACAGTAAATATTCCAAAGTTGTTGTTTATACATATATATATATGTATGCTTGTATCATATCCCCTCATAGTTAACGTATCCCATCACAATGTGTGGTGAAATCCACCGGTTTTTGCCGACGGATTATATCCTGGAATGAAATCTCACAATTGCTGCTTGGTGAAACTCTCAGGAATGATACTTGGTGGTTCACCCCATGAATTGTACGTGGCTCACTTCACCCATAACTGGACATTCCTCCTACTTGCCTTGTCTCAACTAACTGGGGTCAACTAATCGACTTGCTAATTGGACGGGTTAGTATATCCCATCATATCCCCATTAATTACTTTCCTTCGATCCCCAAATCATATCAGCTTGACCATTATATTCATAATTGACATCTATATAGGTATCCTATATATACATATCCCCATTCAATCCTATATACATATATATACAGAACAGGGGTTCATGGGGACTTCAAAACCCTCACAAAATACTGGTATTTACATCTCTCTCCCTCTCTCTCTCTATATATATACGTAGTGCTCCCATTATATTACCATTACAAGTATACATATATATATATATAAATACATATACACATATGTGCGTTGACCGTTTTTAAATATTGCATCTTCATCATATCACCATTAGATATCATACGCAACATATACATCACAAAAAAAGACGTATCAGGCATCACTATGAATCTAATATAGCTATTCCATGAAATATTTAATCATGATTAATACCTCATATAGGTATGATATATGATATGTATCACTATTAATATTCATGTATTAAATATTGCATTATTAATCATATCACTATCACGAACCTCACCATTATCCCATTGAATCCCAGCTGTTAGTAGCTCTCAATCCCAGCAGCCGCAGGATCAGCTCCTCCTTTCGGCCCGACACCGGCAAGCCTACAAACGGGATGGGAGTGGATGAAAACCAGGCTTAGTACAAAAAAACACTGACCAAAAGGGAGATGATCTTCCAAATATGGTCATGAAACGGATGTAAATGGCCCATGTGTACATGATTTACCTACTCAAAATGATTGGATGTTCCTAGATTCAATGGCCACGATAACTGATGGATACCCAACGGATTGTTATGAATCATGGATATCTCCGTCCGTCAGTTATAATGGACCACAGATGGATAGTTGGAATACTGTAGTAAACCCAAAGCCATGAGACATTACCAACTTTGCGGAAAATGGGTGATGTAAAAAACTCTCCAAATCGAGGTTATTGTTGAGTCCACCACACTAGTTAGTAGCCTCTACAAAGAAAGTAAACCTTCCTATTGTCAGACTTTGTTGGACAAGTTTTTTGGAGCGCCCCGCTGCACATGGACAGATTTGTTGGCTAAACATTGCTGTCCGATGATTGTCTGACTCGGTCCGACTCGTCATCAACATCCTCATGTAGACTCATGCGGAACGGGATCTGGTGACGATTGAAAAATAACCATTTCACATGATGAATCACATGATGAATCACATCACATCTGGTGTAATATGGTGTAACATCACACCCTGAAATGTCCGAGATCTGCTGTGCCCAAATCTCCGTGAAAAAAAAACGGACAAACCACATGGTTGATCTTCCAAGCGGCCTCGTTCACGCAGTCGCTGTCGAAGCTTCACCACCTTGGGGTTTGCCATGGTTGATCTCTCCATCCACATATTGGATAGTTCAGGATAGTTTTGGAGTCCGGAGGTACGATTTTCATGGGACCTCTCATCATCTAGTATGCCATCATATTCCTCCATCAAAATGGCTGAAAATAACCCATGAGCCAATCATCATTCATCAGCCGGTTTACTCAAAGTTGAATGCGTTGGTTTCAGATGGTTTCAGGGAGCAAATGCACGAAACCATGGTGTCTTGATGTGTCTTGCCATATACTGTACAACTGTTTCATACTGTTTCCTGAAAAATCGCCCATGCCAGGGCCCGAAAGGATGGGGGTCCTAGCTCCTTGATGGCCATCAAAATGCCGTGAAGACGTCATGCCCTCATAATTTACCTTTTTTTTTCCTGGCTTCATTTCATAGATAAACAAGAATATCAAACAATAAACACGAATCACTGTCAACATCAATTGGATCGTGATAAGTGATCTATTTTTGACATTATTTTGATACATTAAAGATCATTATAGCATATTACAATACGGCATCAAATGTACATGCATTGGGATATGAACCGATAGGAAGCATAGCATTACTAAATCACTCAAGTGGTGGTAGATCAGCAAAACAGGTAGTAGCAGTATTCGCTACTGCGTATGTAATGAAATAATCCTTGATGTGTTCATTGAATAATTGGCTAATTAAAATAATACCCATAGACGCCGCGTTTTGCCCAGACATTAACATTGAGGATGTAGCGTTGTTGAATAAGATGGGAGGGATTGCAGAAAATACTGCATATACACAGAGTTTTCCGGTTTAGGATTCTAAGTTTTCAGGGTTTAGGTTTTAGAGTTTAGGGTTTAAGGTTTTAGGGTTTTAGGGGTTTAGGTTTTGGGGTCTTTGGGTTTAGGATTTAGGGTTTAGGGCTCGTCGTCTGGGAAATCTCCAAACACTGGCCCTGCGCAGGTGTTTGAGCATGTTGATCATGCTTAAACTTAAACGCCATGTGAACTTTCCGGGCAACACTCAGCGCCTGGCCGAAATAATACTGACAACAAAAACAGGGGATTCTGCATGATCCAATTCCAATCATCAGTGCATTCGGTGGCCCCATTCCAGGATTCCATGCTTGGGGGTGCAGCTGGGACATGCTGGGACTAGTTTCATGGCTACAACCACGGGAATGTAACCCCCCAAGTCGGGATGTTAATTGGGCCATATAACTATGGTGAAATATACCTACTTTCTGCACTGGAATTGCAAATCCCAGAAAATCACCATATTGTTGATTGTTAAAAGCTCTAGAAATGCTGTTTAAATCCCCATTGTCCCCATATCATATTGTTGATAGTCAACATTTGTTTCAAAAGTTAAAACAACATCATATCTTTGGGGGTGGGCCGACGTGGGGGTTGGGGCGAACATGTGTTAAAAGCAAGAAAATACACAAACATACTGGTTAGATCATGCCAAAAGTGAAAAACATACTGGTCAAGTGACCAACCAACCGGGGTCTTGAACACTTCCCAACTCACTGAAGTTTCCCAAGTCATCCCCCCCCAAAACAAATGGTGATATGAGATTTTCATATATGTATGCTATGTATGCACAGAAAATTTCTGGTTTATTTCACACTCCCCAAGTCATCCCAAGTCACGGTGAGCTCGGTCAGCTCCTCCGTCTCGTCCTTCGGCGCGGCGCTCAGGCGCCGCACAAGCTCGGCCTTGCGGCCGGACACCGGCAGCCCACGCTGCCGCAGCCTGGGAGCGGCTGGGGAATTCCTTAGGAAAATGGTGAGATCATGCGGAGATAGTGCTGGTGATATAATATAATTATATAACTATATATATAATTATATAACTATGGATATATCATGGGATATAGTGACGGGATAGTGATTTTCATGGGACTTTTATGGGTGTCAAAAGGACAATCGACCATTTTATGGTATACATTATGATATCATGGGATATAACATGGGATATATAGTGATTATAGTGATATTTTCTGAAGAATATGTGGTGCAATTGACTTTATTACCCATATGATTTTTCATAATTTTGGGAGGATGAGCATCCATAATTACCAGCAATTTTGGGATGAACAGAAGGGTCATTTTTTTTCAGCTGAAACTTAGGATGAAACTGAAACTAACCATGAATTCTCACAAAAATAGTGTTGGGGTGGTTTGGAAATAAGCAAAAACCATCAAACACCATCAAAAAGCGATCAACAAAAATCACTTAACATCCCAGGAAGCTGTTGTTTCAGCATCGGCACCGTCAAGTGCTGCAGGGATTCCGCGGCTCTTGCGAGCCAACTGAGCAACAGCGGCACCGCACACGTCGTCCCCCATGGCCGCGGAGGCCGAGCGCTCCGGCTGGGCACTGGTCGCGGCGTGGCCGGGACGGGAGGTCGCCGGGGCACTGCCAACATGGCGCCGTTGAAGCCTTTGGAGCCCCAGTAAATGCCCAGTGATCCAAGGGTTGAGGGTTGTTGCAGTTATCCCGAAAGATCAGTCGATCCGAATGATTTTTGTATCTGGGATGGAAAATTAACATAAGTATTCGTATATGTATTCATATTGCAAATCCGCCAGCAAAAATCTGTGGAGACGTTCTACTAGCTGGTCACCATGTAATGACAACAACTCATCTCACTTGTCATGTGCTTGGGCAAAGATCTCACAGGGAGGCGACAATTTAGAAGTGATTGTGGTTTCAACTCATCGCACAAACATATCTTGTAGTCGAATACGGATCATCTCAAGTCGGGGTTGAACAACTGCTTGAAACCAACTAGGGAAGGTAGCTATTTGCATCCTCAGCTATTTATCACTCTATATGAACTGTCCCGATCCGGGTGTTGGGCATGGATTGGCGAAGCTTGTCCATCCCAGACTGGATCAAAGTATTCTGCTCCTGGTGGCAAAATTCCGTAGCACTGTAGGCCGTGGTCAACATAATCTTAAGATGCACCCATTATGTTTATACGCTATTGAATTATGCATGTCCATGTATGTATAGAATATACATATAGCGAGAGAGAGAATGTGTGTTCTATGTCTGAAGCTTGAGATCTCAGATTACCGTCTGCCATTAAAAAAACAACAACAACAAAAAAACATACAAACAGTTGATGCATACATAATCACGCTACCAACAAACAACACATTCCATCGTTCAAGGTGGGACAAAAATGGTAACATGTTTCACTCACAAATCCATCTTCCAGAAAAAAGAACATACCAAAGGTGATTTTTAAGTATCTTAGTCATGGATTATCTTCCCAACTTGGGATCAACAAAAAGCAGGAAAACAGTAGAGCCAACATGATATTGCGAGGATTGAAACAAGCGACCATCAAAGCCCCTCCTGAAACCGCTTCCTCAAGTGCTCCTCCATCCTGCAGACAATTCACACCTGGCCTGAAAGGAAGAACAAGTGCTGCGGTCATAATGCCAACGTCACATGTCATGTATCATCATATCTTCTGTTTGCAGGTTTTCAAAGGAAATCTACCCATCAGAAAATTGCGAAAATAGGTCAGTGAATCTATCGAACAGTCCGTTCATCAACGCATCATGCCAGAAAATCCCACCATCAGGGCTCCCGAAATGAAAAGATCCAATGCTTCACAATTGGTCCGCTTCTTCAACATAGCTATGGAAGCCATGACCCATGAATATCTATTTATGATTAAAACAAATACCTTTAATATTAACCTGTGGTTTTCCATAGCTAACCGTCTAACCGTAAATAACTAGAGGGTTAGCCCGCTGTTGCTTGACTCATCACTGGGTGCGGTCCTTCCAAATTCATCTCCTGGCAAGGCGAAGGCAAATGATTGAAGTATATTGTAGTAAATCCATGTAAGTCCAAGAATCTCAATTAGACATATAAAAATGACGGGTTCTGCAAGACTTCTTGGGCTAGCTCGTTTTGAGGTCACTGAAAAGAATATCATGCCATTATATGCCATTGCTTGTTGGCATGGTTCCTTTCATGCTAGGAACAAAAAATATGCAAACATAGGCAACAAATAGGCAACAAATTTCATGTTTTGGAAGACATTTTTCCGCGTGAACCGGTCATCAGGTCATCAGGTCATCAGCCCAAAAAAACCACAGACTGGTCATCCCATCCGTGCCTTGCGTCTCCTGCGGCATCGTGAAAATCGATGAAACATGAAACCCACTATGCTAATCTATGCTACAATGGTTTTAATAGATAGTAACAGATAGTAACATATAGATAGTAATAGATAGTAAAAGATAGTAATAGCAATAAGACTGAAAACTCAACAACCATTCAAATCATTCAGCGACAGTAATTATGCCCTTTACTTCCTCTATCAACATCACTTATTGGAAGCGGGCATACAAATGAACTATTCAATTATTTCAGTTCCATATGCCACTATTCTCTCCCCACCAAGTTCGACTAACTTACTTTTGGGACTAAAAATCGTTGAACCCACTATATAACCATCTGAAGGTGTTCATAAATGTTTGTTTTTCCAAATCATCGATTTTTATTTTGGGATCTTCCATGATAAACCAGCTATTGAGGTACCCCATTGATGGAAAGCCCACCTTGCTCTTCTCGAGAAGTTCTATTCGAGCCTGGCGTTCAGTGAGTTCAGAGTACTGGACTGCGAAAAAAATACCGGTTATTACCCGGCCTGGTAAACTAACATAGCAATGGAAAATCACCATTTTTAATGGGAAAACTGACTATAAATGGCCATTTTCAATAGCTATGTTAGTTTACCAGAGGGTAAGGGTTAAGAAGGCTTATACTGTAGTTAGGATTAATACAGGTTAATAAAGGTTAATGATGTGGGTAATAACGGTTAGTTCTTCGGATTTTTGAAGGTTAATAAAGGTTAATGATGTGGGTATAACCGTATATTCAACAACAATGGATGAATAGTGGATAATTGTAATCGTGTAGTAAACCAAATGCCATAAACCATCCCCAAGTCATCACCATGTTTATGGGTTGTATAAAGCATCCCCAAGTTTGGTACGTTTATGGCTATGACCCTAGATTTCCCACGTTATTACTCTTAGAATTTTTGGCTGCCTATGTCAATCTTACCTGTGGTTATACAATTATACATGTACATACATACAAATACATACCTGTATATATATATATATGTATATAATATATTATACATATCTATTATCTTTTATAATACCGGATTCTGCCAAAAAACAACCACCCACTTGAAACCACAGAGATACCTTGCTTACCCCCGCAACGCCCAACTTCAATGTTGTGATCGGAAGTGGCGAGCATCATCAACAGAAATGGTTGTTTTTTTGGAAGGCCGCCAAACACAAAATTCAGAAGACAACATTGAATTGGGGACGGGGGGACATGTCCTCTATGGTGTGGTACTTCATGGGATGGCTGTTTTTTTGAAGAACCCGGTATGTATCCCCTGACATGGAAGCCCAGAAACGCGGTCTGGAAGACTGGAAGATGAATTTCCTGTTGACCTTTGGTGAAGACCCCCAGGTCACCTGGGGCTACCCTGTGGACATCAAACATGGCGATCAGAAATCCGTGGATGTCCTCAATATAGGGAACACATGTAAAGATAGATTTGTATCATCTTATATCTGGGGAATTTTCGAGCGTCAGGTTAGACTACAGGAGTGCAGGTGCAAAGCCTGCGCATTTTTTTCTGATGCTTGGTTCGAACGTCAACTTTGCGTCCGTTGGCAGCCACAGGCGGCGCGCAGAGCGCCAAATCTACCACAACGATCATTCGGGTTGGATGGACTATCGCAAACGATGTTGAAATCTGGGTGGCATTATAAAAGGGTCAGCAACCAGCAACCAACGGCAAGAAAACAATTGAAGAGCTCGAAAACCCTAGATAAGTATGATGATAAGATTTTGTCCTCAACAGTAACAAATTGATCCAAGTCAAAAGCGGGCAACATCTTCTCCCAACTCAAAACAAATGAATTTCGACATCCAGATCCGAACTTCTCCACAAGCTCCTCCAAAGTGAGCACTTTTGGCCCCGATTTCGCAAGGAGATTTTGGAGATTTCTGCCTCAGTGGCCCTGACGTCCTTTGAAACCACTCAAGATCTGCGGCCTGCCACGGATGCCACGGTATCATTGGTGCCACCGAAATATTTGATGGTTTGTCATAACTTTCCTTATTGAAACTTAGGGTTGTTTTGCCACGTGTTCAAACACACTCATTTTTAGCGATGCTTTCCGCTTATCAACCAACATCTATTGCGAGATCCTTGTTCGTCAAAATATGCCAAAACGATGCCTATTTGGGACACGTCTGCCATCATTTACCTAGGTTCGTTGTTCAGTAGTTGCTCCTCTATGCACCAACCAGCCAAGTGTGAAACTGGGGACGGTAAAATTTATCATCTAAGTTTTCTAGAGTTCTACAGCAAACATCACCCTCACAGTATCTTCAACATTCTTCAACATTCGCCAAGATGTTATATCGACATGTCGGGCTGAGTCATCCATGATGCCAATTGGTAGTGGAAAAACTTGGAGCAAAAACATATACATGAATATACATGACATTTGTATATCTAATCCAAATGATCCAATTTATGGCTCAAACACGTAACGCTGTGTGTTTTTTTTGGGGGGGACTCTCTCCCTCTATCGCCTGGTACTTTAACCCATGCCATCCTAGTGGCGAAACAGCACCAGAGGGGCATCGACAGGGCCGTTCCCACAACTTCGAAACAACAGCCACTATGTAGGAACAGCAGTTTGACCGTGGGGTTGGCTATTGGTTGTTTTTCTCCAGTTGCGAAGCAAATTCGCATCGACCAATAATATGACAGCAAAAGGCATGGCAAAAAAAAACATTACCGAACTTTTTTTGAGGCCATCAGAATTCAGCCCGATCATCCGTGGATAAATACAAGCCCCTACATCATCGCCACCAGTGGCGATGGGTCCATCCAGGTTGAAGCAGAATGAACCACCACAGTAGCACCCACAGCTTAAGTTTAAAGAGTTGCAAACACAATGACACCTGGTAACAGCTATAATCATCGATTATCAATGCTTTCATTAAATTACTGTTTTGGATTGTGGGACTTACTCGTTAATTATCAGACCATCTACCAGTACTAGAAGATTAAATGGGAGCAGGCGCTTCCTCTGTTCCAGGTGAAGTTTGCTTGGCAACAATGCTTCGCTATAGTCATCCCGCCCGTCACGGGCAAGCACCGTCCCTGAGAAGATGACCGGGCAATTGAGGGAACACATTGTCACATTGCAATCAAGTAAGGCCGTTTTCACTGATGCTGAGCGGCTCAAGAACACACTGCAAGCCGATAGCGATAGGGAACCGAAAGGCTCAGGATTCATGCTTCACCTGCACACGTTCTGTCGTCGCACCAGCAAACTTCAACTGATGGCTTGTGAAATATGAAGTGCTGGAGAACATTGTTGCAGAACCTGTGGCGGTGTGCGCGCGGCAGGCCCTGATTTCGCCATCAGCGTTTTGAATTCCTATCTGAGCCCCCCTAAGAACACCTGAAGCCGTTGCCAGAGTTGCCGTCTTTCGCATGGGAATATTTTTCCAAATGTCTGCAGCCCAATGACTTCTGGGGCCCCTGCCTATCTCACTCAAGTCCAGCACATGGGAGCAGGTGCATCTTGAGTGAAAGGTTAAGATCTCCAGCGTCAAGGCGCAGCCGGTGAATTTCGGAATTTCGCATTGCGTCTTAAGGTGATAGCCGTGCGGTGTCTGGATTTGCCACTGCTGAGCTGACTTCAAGAGAAAGTTTGGAAACTTTCATCGCGCTCACACATCATGAGTCTAGCAGAGGTAGTTGTAGATCATTAGGCCATTGTGGAATTGGATTTCGGCTTCACCAACAAAGGCATTGGGGAACTGCAAGCGTAAGCTGCCGGGATGCAATGGAAGGGAAGAAGGCGGAGAATGCCGATGAGGTTGGACTGGAGACGGCACAAAAGATGAAGACCCAGCCAAGAACAGCACCCCCCCCCAAAGCCGACTGGAAAGGGCATGGCGGAGGACTTACATACAACATTATATGCTGCAACGCGACGGAACGCGAATATAGCAGTTGGCCACTGTGGCACGCAGCCATTCTTCCCGGCTGTAGCCGTCAGCAGCACATGGCTTGAATTTTGATCTGCGACGTGGGTGCGAAAACAATAGCATTAATTGCTCGCACCAAGAGCTGATTTCCTTTGGGCTCAAGAAACACATGCATGCTCCATCACAGAGGACGCAAATCTTTCTCGGTGCTGCCGGCAAAATTGTGTCCAACTATGTGGCGCTCTAAAATCTAAAGCCTTGGTTCGCTCAAAATTGTACTGCCTATCGTTTCTATATCTTCTGCTCTACGCGTTCTTTTGACAAGCCAAAAGGTAGAAACACTTTCTCTTCAAGCGGCTATGCCACCAAGTCCCGTATCGTCTCAACTGTATTGGTCCTTTTGATGAATTTGAATCATTCCAAGCACAGTGTCACAGCGACACCCTGCTTGGTGGGATTCGGAATCCACAATCAGAAGAAACATTGTTGCCTCAGCTGCTTCTCTTGTATATGTGGCCAGTCCAAGCCATCTAAGCTTTCCAAGTGGGATTCGGCATTTTGAATCATCCCAAGCACGGTGTCACAGCGACACCCTCCTTGGTGGGATTCCCAATCCAGAATGCCCGGAACAGCTCTGGAAGGTGCCCGGATTAAGGTCTCTGATTGCCTAGGTCTAGAGGCGCTGGCGATGCAGCTGTTCTGTGTTGCCATGTGTTTGCATCCAGGGTGGCCTTTGAAGCGTCCATTCAAGTTCCGGCATGCATGCTTGTTCTTTCAAGCTCTGCGTAGCAAGCACGAAAAACAACAACACGCAAGTCTAAGTTAGGCCCACCGGCACTCCACAATTTCAATAGTCTCCACAAAGCCGTTTCAACAAGATGGAAGCCATATTGAGGAACCCTTCGGATATTAAAGAATCTGCCAAAAAAAATATGCTTTCAGTTCTTTTCTCAATGAGCAGCCAACCCAAATGCATTAGACTGCAACAGTGAGAACATAAGCTCACACCATTCCATCTCCTGGGCCTTCAGCTTGTATAACTCCTTCCGTCACATGCGGTCTAGGGCGCGCGGCTTTTGCGCGCCTGGCGCCCCTTTGGGCGCCCAGCTTCTTTATGGGTTCAGTATACCGCCGGAAAATCATCCCAGTCTGTGTGTTCCTCCTGTTTGGGGTTGTATCCCAGCTTCTGTCAAACTGTTGCCTCCGTTGCTTAAAACCACCTACCAAACGGTAGTAGGGCCTACATAAAGGCGCGCGCTTTTCGCGCGCCTATTGTAGGCGCGCGCTTTCTGCGCGCCTGGGGCGCGCGCTCTTTGCGCGCCTATTGTAGGCGCGCGCTCTTTGCGCGCCTAGGGCGCGCGCTCTTTGCGCGCCTGGGGCGCGCGCTTCTTGCGCGCCTGGGGCGGGCGCTTTTTGCGCGCCTGGTGCGGCGAGTGCTTTTTCCAAGCCAGGCCTAGCCGTTGGGTATTTTTGTTGTGTTTTGCACTACCCTGGTTCATGGCCAAAACCGCTCTGCACTGCAATATCGTTGTCCACGCCAATGTCCTCGGGTGTGCTTCATTCCAGCACCCTAAGAGCCATCTGCTCCCTCCCCCATTCATCCTTCTTTCTGTACCCATCTCTTCCACCAAAATCTTATGAAAACGGCCCTCGTCCATCAAATTATTCGGTAATATATATATATATGTAAACTATCTGTATGCGTAAGATGCGGCCAAGCAAAATCAAATATCTAGGACCACCTCTTCCACTCCGTTCCGCTCCCTCACATCCACATCCCTTCCAGACGATGGGCGGAAAAACGGACGTGCTGAAATGTAGTTAAGCGATTATGCCTTAGATATGTAGAATGCCCATTGACGCTGCACGTCGGGAATTGATAGATCCATCATAAACTTGCGGCCTGCGGCCGGATGCTGTTGGTCCCGTGGGGCCAAGAGCGGCAACAATAGAGCTCCAGAATGCTAGACCGAGGAAAGAGTAATGAGAACATCTGCCAACCATAATGGGATCGAAATCCGTGCGTAAATGGCTTTAATAATGGGAATACCATATTAATAAGATAGTCTTGCTGGCATCTACCAGGAATAACGGGATGACAAGCAGCCCGCTATGGTTGGCATATATGCCTAAGGCCTATCACGAAATTGTAGCCAACTTGCTGATATATCATATGAATAGTTCCTCGCATTGACGCGTTCCACTCATCATTCCAGGCAATCATTCATTCGAGGACCTCGAAATCCATGATGTCCGTTCTTGTTAGTAGGCGTTTCGCGTATATACCCAGTTGATATATACCCATACTTGATATCCCCGTTCATTAGCTCTACAATCCGTAATGGTGAAACAAAAACAAGGTTGATTTCCTACACAATGACAGCCCCAGTTTGGCTTTTGGGCACGCCCCTGATCGAGGCACCCATAATTCGTCGTGTTCGGCGTGAAGCCGGAAGCGAACGTCTGCCTTGGTCATGGAGCGGTCAAAGGAGTGCCAAGTTGGCTCCCGTGGACAAAACTGTGAGTGTAGGGGTTGGTGAAACCCAGCTTGATGCTGAAAGGTTTCAGATTTCCATGCACAAACGGAAATTGTGTGATACCAGCGCTGCAAATGATCAGTGTTACAATAGATGTGGCAATAAACTACACTCCATTTTGCTATAGACTATATACCGTTTGTGGAAGTACTAACGCCACTCCCCAAGTGGTGTTTACTGCTTGGATTTACCACCCCAACTCACGGCCAAACTCGCAGTCTCCGTCCCAGGCGCATGTTCTGCCCCAATTGACCCATTCTGTTCGACACGGAGGCATAAGCATTGTGCCTTACACATGGCAAAGGCACAACAGAACGATGACCAAACACATCAAGACACCATGGACATGAGCAAATTAGTCTTTGTGCAACAGGAGCTCAACATCCCCACCACGTTACACCAGACACTAGCTCAATCACAGAAGTGATCATGTAGTAAAGGATATCAAGTGATGTCAGCAATAATCTGGCAAATCCAATTTCATAAAGGATCCCCAAGTCATCGCATTTTTATTGGGTGCTTTTTTGGCGATCGTGGCAGGAACCAAAGGAATCCACTGCATCCAAGGGGCAGGGAATACTGATCTTCATGCACACCAGCGCGTTGCCTTTCCTCAAACTACGTGACTTCAGGGTGAAGTCACGAACATAGAACCAATTCATTGGAACCAATCAATATAGAAATAAACACATCTGTGCATTTACTGCATGTGTATATATATAATATTTATATATATATATGAATTATCATATATATATATATATCATATATATATATATACACATATGTCATATATATAATATATATATATATATACTGCATCCATATGTTTAAGCTAAAACTATCAATATATCAACATATACAAATAGGGAGGATACACATACATACCTAACACATACAGTACATAGAAGTAAAGTCATCCTTTAGTTGATTGAATGTAGACAAACATGTCATATTCTATGTATTTCACGATGGTTGCATATATTGCAAACATAATCTGCACAAATGCAAAACAATAAGCATAATCACTTGACTTCGAGTGACCCTCACCGTGATATATTATTCTGACATTCTAGCTGACATGTGTTCGGGCCCAGGCGTGCCGCACAGAATCCGGAGCTGGCAGAAGCAAGAGGCGGGGAAGGTGGACGAGGAGAAGAGGAAGAAGGGGGAGTTGTACCTTTGTCAAAACCTAGTGACCTTCACCTGGCAGGGGGAAATGACTGAAAGATCGGATTTCCGAGTTTCTTTGGCATGCCTATCCAATGTTCAAATTATGGGAGACACTATTCATAAAGAATAATTCCGGGGTTGAATGATTTTGGGGTGTTTCACTCTTGTATGGTGACGTGTTGTTATACAGGTCATAGGACCTTGTAAATTCAATCTAACTACAAAGGATTAGCAAAGAAAATCCATCAAGTGTCTATCAAGGATTCAAAGGCGAGAACCTCTCTACTATACAGTTGTTGGTGAATCCCGTGCATTTTGTTGGCAAATAGTTTTGAAGCAACGCCCATTCTTGCTGATTTTGCCAGAGATTTCCAAGCCATGTTTGACTCCTGATGCTACTTATATCTCGTTGGCCCCTTCAGTTTCGAAGCAATCATACTTGGTGGCTCACCCAAGCTAGTAAGTGGGCTGTAACCTCAGTTGGACCCCACGGACCCCTAACGGACTCGGGCTGGAAATTGACCATAGCCGGGATATGATAAGTGGGGCAAGTAGGGAGAATGTCCAGTTTAACCTGGTAAAGCCAGTAATGTTGGTAAAACAAGAATAAACCACCCCAAATTCACCATTTGTATAGGTGGTATGTCTACCATTCCCAGTCATGGGTGGTAAAAATGGCATTGTTTTTCCCGCATTACACCCATTATAGATTCATTAGAATCATTACTCCCTGGTAAACGAACAGTTTGCGAACTTGAAAATGGCCCAGTCGAAAGTTCGTTGATTTACCCATGGCCATAGCATGGTGATTTTCCGCCAGCGAGGTGCACCGGAGAGCGCCAGGGCCATCAGAAGTTGACTCAGCGTGGTCAGCAGCGCGGCCAGCCACACCTGTTGGAGGACCACATCCAGAGGCGGCTCCTTGTGTGGCGCGGCTTGGGGGGTGGTGATATAAATTTCATGGAGATATCATAGGAGATAACCAATTTCAATGGATTTAATGGGAGTTGATGGGATTTCAAAACATGGACTTAATGGGATTTCATGGGATTTCATAGGATATAACCAGCCACAATAAATGGGGATTTAGCTGATAAAAAACCATCACAATATGGGAGAACTGGTGGTTATTGGTGCTGGTTTAAGGTGGGATTGTGGAGAACATCTATTGGTTTTGGTACTGGAATGTAATGAGATATATTGCTCACATTTACTAATTTTACTAACACTAGGTGCCCAAAAAAATGTGATTACCCCATGATTATGCTAATGAAATTGATGATGAAACATGGAATTTGTTGGTACCGGCATGCTGTTGTATCACATGCGATGTGCGCGGCTCCTGGTCTGTTGCCATCATGCAGTACCTCAAGCAGAATCGAAACAGGTCACCATGGAGATGTCCCAGCGTCACTCTCCCATCCAGTGCCCTCATCCTTTGAGGCCTGGACTCTTGCAGATTCAAATTTCCTTCAAATTGCTGAGCTCCTCAGTCCACTAGAAGCACTAGAACAGGGATCTCCCACTGTGACATGCGCATGTAACGTGGACACAAAAGTGTTTGGAGCATTTTGGAGCTTCATAGGAATAATGCAAAGGGTTGCTTGGAATTTAAATAGTTCCGGGATCACCAAATGCCGTGTGCTCAAAAGCGAGCAAACTGCGCGCAACTAACAAACTTGTGGGAAATACAGTCTTTGTTCTGAGTTGGGCCATTGTGGGCCACAGTCGCAACTGGGCTACTTCCCCTCATCAAGTATTGGTCAGGTTACTCGGTTACCCCATCGATAGGTGTTTACGCAAACAATCTTAGGAAGTCGTAGTGATCGCAAAGCAACCAAACATGTGTGGAATTGATGTTGCCACTGCGTGCCCACTATAAAAACATTCCATGGCCAACCTTGAATGGCCTGCAAAAAAAACAACTTTACAGTAGCTGGTTCGTAGATTTCCCCAAATTTGTTTGGCAAATTTAGGTGGTACTAAGATCATCCATCGACCGGAGGACCTCTCCCCCTCCAGGCTCAGAGTCGGATGGGGCTGAAAATGGATGCCCAACTGTCTGAGGCACCTCAGCCAGATGGGAGGTTTCGGGCAGAGGGGTGTCCTAAGATGGGAACTAAGATCTAAGATGGGAATCTACCTAAATGATCTACATGTTCAGAATTGTTTATATATATATTTATATGATCCCATCTAGCTTTTGATACATACCGAGGCATGTTCTTGGTGATGATTTTTAAATGCTTTTTTTCCGGGCTCAACTTGGAGAGTTGTTGGCCTTGGACTTGGACCGCTAAGAGCAGCAGCTGTTCTCAGGCCCCTTGGCCATGGCTATTATTTTTTTTGGGATGCCGCCCCAATATATAGTGTAATAAAGATGTGGTCTATGCTATCTTCCATTGTAAGCCCATTGTACTACCATGTTGGCTGTTCAAATCACCATTTCGGCATATATTTCGGGTTCATATAGTTTAACATCCTAACTTATGAGACTTATGTGGTTATAATCGCAGGGTTACAAACCTGTATTTTTGCATCTTTTCCTAGATGTCGGTCAAAACTTGGTATTTGATGCGTGGTTGGGCCATCCCATTTGGGAAAATTGATTGATGACCATCCCCCAATATGGCTAGTCCCAGTTCAGATCATGGCACATATGTTTCCCAGAATTTCCCAGAACTTATTGAGTTTTTATTGCCTGGTATTCGCCCACTCTCAATGGAGCCCTTACGTTTTTTCACTAAGTGCTGGCACCATGCTCGCCCGCGATGCTGCGAAGTAACTGCTCCGCCTGCCGCGGCAGAGCGGGAAAGCACCTTCGATCACCAATTTTGGTTTTCTGAATGGCTCTTTCTTATGAAACATGTTCCACTGCCAGGTTTAGATCTTTTAGATTAGCTGAGGGAAATATGGTGAATCATGGCCACACATTGGATACTGTAGCCACAAGAAGTCAGCCGACTTTCCTCCATTTCTGGTGAACAACATGGTACAACAGGCACAAGCAAAATGCATCGGTCGGGCGATCTGGTCAACAAAATGGAAAGGGTGACTTGGAGAGAGGCTGGGACAGTTTGCCAAGCAATCCACTTGGAACCCAGGAGTCAATCAGCAGTGCTTCGGTGGGAAGCCGCAGTTCAACTTTCAATGAATAGAACAAGAATCAACACAAACAAGGTTTTTAGGATGGAATATGTATGACTGATCTATCCACTGGTTGTCGGCTTCAACTATCTGAGAACTACAACAGAAGCCGCATGTGGACCTGGATGTCTTTTGGAGGCTCCCCGCGAATGTGTCACTCTTCACCTATGGAAACTGATTCACATTCCTGGCCTTCATTTCAGGTGCCCCATGATATATGATGAACCCCAGGAATCAACCTCTGACCACAAAAAAAAAGACGGACACCCCGCACCAAACACCAGCGACCTGCGGAAGTAGATCCTGGAAGAAGAGCAACCCGGGGCGATCTCAACATGGCAATTCTTAGTAGCACAGCCGTCCAAATCTTGGGCACCTAATTTTGGCCCAGTAGCCAAATACCAAAGAACTACCAGTCAGAAATAGGCGCCCAAGCTCTACCTATTTCAATAAACTACTTTTTGGGGTCGGATTCAGTTTGAATTGACCAAGTCCAAGTGCCAACCATCTTCTCATGCAACATTCAGGATGAGAAAGGGCTACAGTAAGTGCTACAAAATCACATGTCATGTTGACAATACCCTCTGGTAATCAACCATGCCTGGAAAATCCAGCAAGCATTTGGTTTGTTGAAGATTTCCTAGCTATAAACCTCTAGATTTCATGAGATTTTCCCAGATCGGACAGCTGCTCCGAACCAGTCCTGGTGGTGGACGCACATGTGATTCAGAAGGTAGAAAACCTCAATGTCCACAAGCTGGGTCCAGGATGGTCCAGGTATGTCGAGGTTCCACCCTTTTTTGGCTAAGATTCTAATGGATTTACTATGGCATACTATGGCTTTGATATCTTTAGTTTGTATCAATTTCCAATATCTCCCTCAAAGATGCGAGAGTTTTCTACACTGTAGATCCATATCATCAGGAAACATGAACATGCTTATGCAAGCAAACATATAGAATCATGGGCATACAAAACATATCTAAACACACAAGGAATCCCACGGTTGGCGGGATGACCCCCGTGCTTTCGCACACTTTGTCTTGGCTCAGCTGGCTCTCTCTTCTCTGACAATAAAGGCTCTCTGAAAAACAACAACAACATTGAACAACACATTTTGGTCGTCAGTAATTACTAAGCTTTACCGCAAGCAGGTTCATTCTTCTTACTGTACTTCATTCTTTGTCCAGTTGTGAGTACAGTATGAAGTTTTCAAGATTGATATGGATTGCTATCACTATCCGAATTCATCTAATTGCATTTAGTGTCGTCATGAAATGTAACTTTCAAGAAAACCTAGTCGGCATTTGACCTTCAAACAGCCAACCCAAATATTTGGGGATCGAAATTTACGCACAGATGTTGGTTCCTGTTTAGATACCCCAGGTTCCATGGTGCTGGAATATTTACACCAACATTTACCCCCAAATGATCCAGTTATGTGGCTAAATATTCCATACATATAGAGCATATGGGATATTATATATATAACCATGGTTATATAGAGGTTATATCTCAACGTTGTGGGGGTTATTACATGTTATTACCATATAGCTTTGTTTGGAAAGGATCCCCTCTCATTGCCAGAAGTCCGAGTGGCACCAGTCCAGGCCACCAAAAACTCTGAGGCCAAAAGCCTCGATTTCGAATCGCCCTTGTCAAGGGAATCTTGGGATTCAGCCCCAAACGTGAAGTCCCCAACAAACCAAGGTTGAATGAGTGTTGTTTTCTCTCTAAGGGTCTATTAATCATCAATTATTGGTGGGGCCAACTTCAAAGGAATGAGATGGTTAAGTTGAATATCCCTGACTTGATCTCTCTCAGTTCTCCAAAATAGAACCACCAAACTGGAAGGCCATGTTGTTTTTTAATGTTGTTCTTGGGATGTTTATCAATTTGTGTAGAAGGGATTGAAGGGATCCCATCCAAATCCATCTAAAAAGTAAAAATCAATGGCCATTTCAAGTACCTAAATTGGAGGTATTCTACCCCTTTACTGGTTTTTAGTTACCTGAAAAAACAATAGATGGTACCTAAACCTCATTATATGGTTTATAGTTTATATGGCAATTGTTTAATTGGTATATATAAACCAATACCTTGGTGATATTTCCCCTTGGCTGAGCCACTGAAGAAGCACGCCGGTCAGAGCGATCCCCTGGAGTATACCTCAGTGCAGGGAAGCAATGGAACAACTCCCGGAACAACAGGGATCTTAGCAAAAAAAAACTTTGCTTGAACAACCAACAGGTACTACTACTCCAGCTAAGTAAGGCTTATAATGCATATAATTCTATATACATATGTATATATATATAATGTTAATCCATATGTGTATATGATTATGTGACGTGTGCGTGCAAAAGCGTATGAAAACAACCACGGTGAAGGTTCAGCAACAAACATGAAAACAGACTTGCACGTGCAGGTTGTCCGCCGGCTTCGCTGGGCAAAATTCATGCCGTGGCATCCTTCGGCCATGGTCAGGTAAAGTCGCAAGCTTGGCATGATTCTTATGCTACCAGTACTTAAAGTGTGTCAGTTTATTGGTTTGTCAACCCATTAAAAAACTCAAAGTCGTCTTTTTGTCATCCTACTATGTGCGAGATAAAAATAGTAATATATATAATATTACTGTATATCACCACAATCCACCACAACAATAACAATAGATATAATATCATCATCTTTGATCATCCTATGATGGAAACCTCCCAAAACGCTTCGATTTTCACATGACATGTCGAGCCGAGAGGCCGAGGCTCTTGGAGGAGGTGAAGGAATGGACTAAGGCATTGACGCTGCGGCTGCTTTGGCTATCGCCTAAGCGAGTTGAGTGACTTGGATCGCTTGGCCAGGAGATATCTGGTGTGTATATATATAATCTATATAATGTTAACTAATAATAATGTTTATCAATAGATATCAATATATAGTTATCTGTTATCATATGTATATATATAAATACATACACATAGGTGCGTATTGTATGCATGTATGCATTATGTAGAGAAGTTATGGTGTGCTACGGTATATTAGATTATTATTTATGTTTCTGTGCCGAAGATTAGCGAACCCACGCCATCGCATCTCTGCAAGCTGGTGAAATCTAATAAAACTTTGACGCTTTGAGCGACTTGAGGGCTGTTGGGACTTTATGATAAATTTGTGGAGGACATGATTGAAACAGGAACCACTGCTCGTACAGGCAAGCTTTTAAATGATAAACACATGATGAACATTTCTTTGTTCATCTTTATCCAATGTTCAGGATGTGAAGGAAAGCCACAGTCTGCGATCCACATGTCCAGCGTGGTCAAATCTTCTCGAGTGCAAAAGTCAATCTCATCAATACTTTCCGGTACTCAAACATGGCAACTGGAAATCCACTATAAATGGAGCTTTTAATGGGACCTCAAAAGTTCGATCCTCCTTAGAATTTCCATCATTCCAGTGACGGTTGCAGTAAGTTCATTATAAATCATTGTTGGTCCTATATCTCGTCAAATATCCCTATGAATATTCCTATGAATATCCCCCTATCCCCACTATACCAACATTAATTGCTGGTTAAATATCCTTCTTTGGATACAATCTTCCGGTAGAGGTATCACATTGCATGACATCAGCATGCGTCCAAAAACAACAACTAAGACCTTTAATACCAAGCGGAATCACCCATTTCAGAGATGGGAAGGTGTGCGCACCAGGAACCAAAGCTCTACAGGTGGAACGCGCGCAGCGCCCAGGAACACTCGAAGCTGGAGAGCAAAATGGCCAGCGCAGCAAGGACGTTGAAAGGAAGGAGGAACCATTCACTCCAGTCCTGGAAGCTCCAAGGAGCAGCATGCCGTAGCCAGTCAACATGGGCAAAGAAACAAAAAAATGTTGTTTTGTGTTGTCTTTGCACACGGGGCTGTCCAAAATTTCATGATAAACAGATATGGATTCATATATATATATATATATATGGATCCTATGCGAGACCGAACAAAATCCTAGAACTCCACTGGAAGCTGCGTTTGCTGCGACAACTGAATTATGTACCTCGAATCGGTGGAAACGGTGGTTATGAGTCGAGTACACGGGTTGTACACTTATCTGGCTGGTTTCTTGAACTTTCCTGATTGTCCAAGGTGATTCTCATCCAATTTTTGGGCTAAGCAACCAGAAAGTGTAGCAGGCCCTCCCTCAGTGGCGCTGTTGCAGCACCGGGCTGTTGGTCACATGGGTTGGGTGTGGATTCCAGAGCGATCAATGCACTGAAAAAAAGGATCCCTCGCTTAGTCATTGTTGTTTTCCACGTTTTTTCCCAGAAACGTGGTATATAAATGACCCAAAGTGGCAATCTGTGTGAGGAAAGTGATAAAGCACTAGATTTTGGAGTGCCCTATCTTGGAGAAACCATTGTTCAATTGCAGGAGATGACACCTCGATGCCCGCAGCAGCCCGAATCAAGTGTCCAAACACGAACCTAGCCAAACCGCCAGTTTCAAATTCCCCAAACCCCAAAAAGGCAAAGTATCAACAACAAGACCGAAGACATTTGAACATATTTAAACCAACAAAAGAAACCATAGCAAACTTCAGAACTTCAGGCACTCTTTCACATACGTATTTTAACGTCTCAAGAGCTAAGTGTGAACCATCAACCAAGCAAACTACCCACCAAGGTGCAAGGAGCCGTTGAGATTGTGCCGGAATCCGGGGCAGCAATTCTCAAGACTTCCTTTGCAAGCGACTTGGATGCACCACCTACGTGCTTTATGTATACATATATATATATACATAGATTTATACACATGCATTTTCATATCTATATAAAGCATTATAAAGCTCTTCAATATAAACACATAAGATCACATATATATATAAGGGTAGGAAATTGTTTGGGGATTTTTTTTTTTAGTTTGGGGATTTTTTTTTGGATTTCCGGTTCTCACCATTTTCCATGCTATTTGCAGCATTTTGGAGCTGGAAACTGCCATTTCCACGGTATGTGCAACGGTTTTGAGTTCGAACCTCTCATTTTCCATTGTATTTCCACGGTATTTGCAACAGTTTGCAGCATGTTCTGTCCATTTTCCATGCTCTTTGCAGCATTTTTGAGCTGGAATCTGCATTTCCACCGTATGTGCAACATTTTACAGCTACATTCCTCACAGTACTTGCAGGATTTTGGAGCTGAAGGCTGACATTCCAACAGTTGTTTGTTGTTACTGTTACTGTTGTTGGTGTTGGTGTTGGTGTTGTTGTTGTTGTTGGTGTTGTTGTTGTTGTTACCGTTAGTGTTGTTAGTGTTGTTAGTGTTGCTAGTGTTAGTGTTGTTAGTGTTGTTAGTGTTGTTATATATATATATATATATATATATATATACAATATATATATATATACAATGTATATATATATATTCTAACCAAAGTAGTGTATTGAAATGTGTGCAAGCTTGAATTTAAATAAAAAAAGCGGGATTGGGGGATTGGGGGGGAGGGCTGAAGAGGGGCCCTAGCGTCTACTTCAAGATCAGCTAAGGCGTCTTCCCCAATGACAGCACTCTTTTACTCTCAGCCTGTTGCCGGTCAGTGCTTGTCTACAGGGTTACTCTATATACCTCTTTCTTGAGCCTTGAAGGGCGCATATAAATGTGCTCAATACTCATGCATGTACCTATGTAGGTATTAGGTCGAAACAAAAACACAGGCACAAATTCAAAAGCAATGAGTAGAGCACTACGCCTTGCCGTACCCAATTGGTATTAAGAGTATCTTCCTGACTTCTCTACACAATGGCAAATAGCAAAAGAAACCGGAGTTACGCAGTGGCTTCGAATTGAAAAACACGTGAAAGCAGCGAATGTCCTAAGGACATGTCGAAAAAGAACAGCGGATTCGCTAATTTTTCCAGTAGCGACCAATGGTGCTTCGCGCACGGTCTCTCCACAGGCAAAATGCCTCGCTCTACCGGTGAAAGTTCGAATTGAAAAGTTCGGGTTCGCAAGATTCAGAAATTCAGGTCATACGAAAGCAATTGACCAAATCACGAAATAAACGGAAATAGCGGATCTCCAAAGTTGCTCATTCAAGCAAACAATGGACTGAAATCGAAGTTGGTAAATTTTTGAAGTTCGCCTCATTCGGAGTGGTCTGCTCGCCGGATGATTCATGGAGATAAATGTATATAGCATCTCTATTTACAAGAGTCTCTATTTTACATTAAATTTAAGTTCAGACACTTGTGGCATTATCTCTATCTAAAAGAGTATATGCCATCTGTGTGAAATAAGTTGAACGCACAGAAAAAACTGTACACGGCTTCTCATGCTGTGTTATCTTCAATTAAAGAAGTGTACACTCACTCATCGCCACTCACTTGATCTCCATGGTCTGGACGCTGAAGATGAGGATCCACCCCACTCTGTGTTGCCCTGATACGTCGATGCTTGATCTTCATATGCCTTTCTCTTTTTCTCCTTCTGTCTTTCCTTTCTTGAATCAGCATACTGCTTCTTCTTGTAGGCCTGTTTGTAATGATGTCGTTCATTCCATGACATATCAGAAGGATCAAGATGGATAAGAATTGGATTATGAGCATCGCGATCATTTGGAGCAACCATGAAGATGTTGTGATCACCATGTAAGCAAGTTTCATTTACCTTGAAGTAAAATTCACCCACATAGTTCATGTGATCTTCATCCTCAAAGTCTTCTGGGTGTTCCTCACACATCAAACGTGAATGACCCCACTCAACAACTGTTAACATACAACAATCACCTTTACCATTTGTCTTGTTCATGAGCTCGTCGGTGTATGTTGCTGTTGTAATGCCATCCAAGTGCGTTGCAAGAAAATCCAAGTCACGATAACTGCAAGAAATAAAATGCTTGACCCTGATTGGAGGGCAAGTTGGATCAAAATTCTTGCGCATGGCTTGTGTTGCAACACCTACCATTCTGTTAATCCAGAATTGGATAAGGCTGTGTTGATATGTAGGGACACCTGGAGATTTTGGTGTGCTGTAATAGCATGCCTTGTTTCCATCACCTGCGATGAAGTCAACTTGATATCTGGCACACTCAAAAGCCATAACAGCTAAGCTCTCACCAACAATCCCAGCAGAGTCTGATGCATACTTCTGTCCGACGTGATAAACGCACACACGTGTCATTCTCATCCTAGCTCTTGTCAAGTCAACAATCTCATCTGTATCTCGATCCTTTGTCTTTCCCCAAGATACTTCAAAGATTGCCCATGAGACTTGTCGAACTCGTGTGTCGTTGTCATCTGTGTGATATCCAGCAATTTGCTTGATATAGCCATCCTTTCCAAGGCGAGCGGCCACCATCAAGTCATGATAGTCATTGAAGCAAGTTTTGAAGTCAACCTCGTTGAGTCTTTCTCTGTGAGGATACAACGAACCAGCCTCGCAATTCATGAAAAGATGTCCTCCAAAGTTCTTGATGACATTGATGAAGTAATTGTTGAACTGTGATTTGGTTTCATCAAATTTTTCATGATCCTCATCGATAGTGTAGTCAATGTGTGGAATGAATTGTTGAAATCTTTCTGGAACCGGGCATTTTTCAAATCTGTTTCTGCACCAGTTTCCCAAATTCCAAAACATTGCTGTTATCTGTGGAGAGGATCTGTATGGAAATTCAGCATCCTTGTACGTTGGGTCTGATAGGCCTCCACCTAAATACCTGTAAGCCAAGCTATGCAAGATCATACAGTAAGGCAAGACCTTGTGTTCCTCAACGTAATCCTGGAGTACCTTTGTGAGATTTCCAAAATCGTCATCAATCCTCTGTTCTGCTTCTTTTGAGGATCTTTCTGCTTTGTCTTGATGAAGAGGATGCATCCTTGGATCACTACAACCATATTCAATGCGCTGATTAAGTTCTTGTAATTCTAGTTGTGGATCCTGATTCTTGTGTCTGGCAATGTACTCAACCATCAACTGGTCATCTGTAAGATGGTACCAAAAATCATGATGTGGAGACATGGTCTTCCTGTACTTAACATGCCAAAACATATGTCGATGCTTCGAAGACGCTGGATAACCTTTGTTGTAAAATCCTGCCCATTCACCATGGTAACCATCTGAAAAACAATCCTTCAATTTTCGAAAAACTGAATCATCTTCGTTTCCAGTGATATCTTGACCATAGTAAAGTCGAATTGCAGGTTTCACTTCAGGAGCTGTCTCATCATCTTGAATGTCTGTTTTCTTCTCCCCTGATTCCTCCTTTTCTGAGGAGCGTTCAGGTGGAGCTGATTCCTCTTTCTCTGAAGAGCCTTCAGCTGGGACATGTGGCTCCTGTGTGTCTTTTTCTTCTTCTTCTTCTTCGACAGCAATCTCCTCATCTTCATCCTCTTCTTTCTCTTCTTCCTCTTGTCGTTCTTCTGGTTTGACAAAACTTTCCTTGATCTTTCGTTGAACATTCTGATTGCACATACTGATCCATTTCAATGTACACTCAACCAATTTGTCATCATCAGTTTCCAAAATGATATGTTTGTCCTCAATGTTCAAACTTTCAATGGTATGCTTGTACTCAGGATCACCTGCGCCTGGTCTTTGAAGATCTGGAAGTGGAGTCTCTGGATCATCGTCCACCATCTGAGGATCCTCTGCTCCAAAGAAATTTTCTGCGCCAAGGTGTTCATTGTCCTTGAGAACTTTGTCAATATCCAGTTTGAACTCATAGTACTTGTCGTAAGAGATCTCATAACCCATCATAGGTGCATACTGCTCCATAAATGTTGAAAAAGAAGCATCTGATAATGCTGACATCATCAACCATAATGAGAAGAAGCTTATGTCACCACGTTCAAGGGGTCGACTTCCTTCAAGATCATCTTCTGTGAGGATTGTTTGGCCTTGGAGTGTAATATCATGGAGGATCTGTCTGTGCTCTGGTTTGAGTTGCCTGACTAAGAACAGTCCCTGTCGATCTTCCATATTTCTTCGAGGATTTGCATCAGGTAATACCTCACTTTCTTGTTGTGGTTGTGTTTCCTCTCTTTCTTGAGAGCATACACCTTCTTCCTCTCTTTCCTGAGAGCCTGATGCCTTTTCCTCCTCTTTCCTGACAAAAACTTGTAGTCTTGGCAAAAACTCCAAATCATCTTCAGCATCATCATCATCGTGACCTTCCATGTCCACATTCTGTTGCTCTGATCCTGGGATGTGAGCGATCTTGTCCTTTCCAGCTACCCAGATGTAGCCATCGAGCTTTGTAGATGTGTGGAAGTCACCTGAACCGCATTCCCTGACCTTTGTCCTTGCTCTTGCAGATTGATGGAATGCTTCATGCTGAAAGAATTGATTGTAGGCATGTTCAACAAAGAATCTGTAGGATTGAGCTGTCAATTCCTTTCTGCTATCCACAAATTGTCGAAGCTTGTTCAAAGCAAAAACTGTGAAATGGCTAAAGCTAGCAGGTGCTTCATCTTCATACAGATCGATTGCCATGATCATCATCTTTGTGGAAAACGAGAAATGCCGTTCAGGTTCTGGGATGACTGTTCTCTTGTTCATGGGAACTGTAATTCCTTGAATAGTCATGTCATACCCATGTGTGTTCAACTCCAGTGCATCCAAAATGTTACCATCACGGTCCTTCTTTCTCCTGCAGAAATCTCCCCAGAGTTTGTTGTTCTCTCTAATGAACTGATCAAGATGCTTAGTGTAAAAGACAAAGACTGCTTCTGAGAGATACTCCATGT